GAGATGGAAGGGGAGGCAGAAGAGGCAGGCACACTTGGTGTAACTCTTATTGAAAAAAATCCACGTACAAGTGGACCTGGGCAGTTCAAACCCAGTTGTTCAAGGGTCAAGTGTGTGTGTGTGTGTGTGTGTGAAGAGAAAGAGACGAGAAAGAACTCAAAGTATATTATTGTAGGTCATATACTTTTATGGACATGTTTTTTCTATAGCAAACACTACATAGAAATGTCAAGATGGCTAGCCTGGAAGATTTGAAAAATATAGATCCCTCAAAGCAAAGAATAATTTTCCATAAATTCAGGGTATATTTGAAATTCTAAATGTACAAATTGTAATGTTAAAATTTATTTAACATGTAATGTTAAATTAATTTTAGAAAACAGTTTAATAAGAATATACCCCTATGCTTTGAATTCTTCCTGTGTTGATAGACATGATAAAGTTGTTTTAACATTTAACTACCTTATAATGGAATCTATAATAAATTTGAAATGATTTCATTTACTTTTTACTCATTTTATAAATGAGTATTATTTTTAATTACGTAGTTTTCTTTAGGTTTTTTTGAGAATGCATTGCCATCTCTGGTTTTGAAAACAAGATAATGACATGATCCCTAATCTGTTCCTTTTTTGACAACACACTTAGAACCTCTGACAAAGAAGAAAAAGCCTTTAAAGGGCTGAATTTTTTACCCATATATGTTGAATATTATATCAGTCAGCATTCTTGTTTATAAGCAGTAGAAGCCAACTCCTGAGCAAAAAGGAAATATAAGGACATCTGGATCTCAGAATCAAGAGTATAGAGGGCCATGCTTGGGAATGAGTGACAGCCATAGCCAAGACACACACACACACACACACACACACACACACACTCACTCACTCACTCACACTCCCATGCCCATGTGTCCCCGTCCACTGGCTTGAGAGTCCAAGTTCTGGAGTAAGCATCTGATTAGCCAAGCTGGAGACCAAATGTTGAAAATTACTTACATAGTCACGATTCTGTATTGCCACATCATTTTTCACTTATAAGCAATTCTTCATTGCTTTAACAAATGTTTCTTGAGTACCTACTATGTGCCAGGCATTGATCTAGAAGTTGAGACTACAGCAGTGAACATAACAAATGCAAATCCTGGCCTTACGTCCCAGTGGTTAACAGTCCTTAATTGTTTAATGTAATTTTAAACTATTGTCCCTTCTCAAAAAAACAAACAAAAAAAAAAAACAGAAATCTTGCCCCATTAAAATGAGTTCTGATTGCCACTTGATTATATTATTAAGTTAATAATAGCGTTAAGTAATTGGTGTTAAAAGATAACCCCTGAAATCCATATTAGCAGAATCTGGTTCAATCAACACATCAATGGAGAACTAGAAAGGATGAGAGGGGTTGTCATGTTGATTAAATAGTGTGCTAGTTCTCTCTTGATTAGGAGGGGGAAGAGTGCCAGAAGAGATTGTGAGAGAATTCTCAGGAGTCACTTGTGACAGAAGATGGATTGCAGAGAGATGTTTTAAGAGTGAAGTAATTTAGCGATCTCTTTCTTTCTGAATATGGTATCAACTAATCTACGCTGAGATTTCATCCGTATCACTTGGTGCTTTCCTGCCTAGCATATTTATTTCTGGAATTCTCATTTTACTGCTATCCATTTGTTCCTGCTGCTATCCATTTTAAAGTTAAGAAAGTTCTAGAGAATTAAGGATCAACTCAAAAAATTAAGATACACAGTTTTAATCATGTAAATACTTCCTTTTTGTTTTATCATTTGCCAAATGACTATAATTTAAATTCTTTTTCACAAAATCTGTATGGCTCAAATTAAGCAAGCTCCTTTTGTGGGAAAATAAAGAGAGTTTTTTTTTTTTTCCTAATTATGTTTGATCCTAATTAGCCCTACTTCTGTCACAATTAATTTATTCAATAAAGCTCAGCTTGTTGGCAATATTGTCCTATTGCTTTCTGAGGTTTTTTTCCTCTCTCTAATTTGTTGGCATCCCAAGAAAAAGTCCACGACCTTTCTCAAATCACACAACGAAGAATTTGCACTTCTAGGTTGCTAGCCTATTAGTCCTATCATTCCTCCACCAAGTATACAGAGTGTTTAGAATTTATCTTTGTAGCCCACTCTCAGTTCAAGTTCATTTATTAAGAGGAAGAATGCTTTCTTGTTAGCTTTCAAAGGAAGTACATCACTTGAATTTGAGGAATGTTTAGAAGAGTAACTATTTTAACTTACAGAAAAGAAAATGCTGTCAACCCATTAAACATGATGACCAGGTAAGTAGTCCTAAGTAATTTCTATACAAGTTTTGGTATCATAAAATGCTAAAGCCTCATTAAAACAAGGTTTGTGTTTTACATTTATGTTAGAAAAATTCATTAGTACTAGGTCAACATTGTTTTCAAGTAATAATTTTGACAACTAACAATGTTCTAAAAGATAAATCCATGCTATTAAGAAAATACAATAATGAAAACAAATAATAATCACCTTATAAAGAATCCTTTAAAATGAATCTATGCTTTATCTAGACTTCTATTTAGATTTTAGTGACAGTTTTATTTGGTCCAGCTAAGTAATTAAACATCATAGAACATGCCTAATTGTAGTATATTTTTTTCATTGTTGTTCCTTTCTTATTCCAGATCAAAAATATAAGTAAACTGGCAGAAGTCTCCAAAAACAACGTCTTACAGCTAAGTGAGAAAGTGGAAAATATAAAAAACCAAAGTGAATCTGAAGGAGAAAAAATGAGTCTTTTAATCAAAAAAGTGAAAAACTTTTTGTTAGGTAATTAAAAATACATATATTAGGACTAGTTTTGTTTCTTCCTTTTCTTAAATGTACACTCAAACATCATAACCAATTCCAAATTATATTAATTGGAAATGACATGCCTAAATCAAGAAAATGATGTACCCTTTGGTTTTAAATTTCTTAATGAGAATAATCTCAAAATACCAACTGTGTGCCAAAAAATTGTGGCTCTCTGTATAAGATTAATTTGGTAACAAATCCTAGAATTTAGTTAAAATTCTGAACACATGAACTTTGTGTTTAAAGTTATTTTATTATTTTTTTAAAAAGGAAAATTCAATGTTATGATTATATCAGATTCCCTAACCTCAGGATCAGTAACTTTCGTTGCTGTCAGAGATGATATGAGACCAAAATATGCCAAATTTTTGTTAGTTTATCAAATGCTGTAGTGAGATAGTATCTAAAAACTTGATTATTAACTATTATTGACTATTATCCAAGTCTTCTTTTCTTGTTTCTCTGTGACTGACCGAAACAAACTATCGGATTCATTATTCATTGTGCCTTATTTTGGGAGAGGTTTGTTTTAAACTCCAGAGAATTATTAAAGATAAAAATCAAATACTGCAGCTGGAAATTGACCTGAAACCTCACTCTCTGCAAATAACATAGTTTGGGTACAACATTTTATGGAATTAACCTTAAAAGGCTTTCTTTTCCATAACCATTTTCCAAACTCAATAAATGTGGCACCCTCCATGTGTATTGACAATTGGAGCATCCATTACAATCTTTACAGTCACTTCACTAATCTATTTAATATACATAAGAGATCCCTATGGCCAGGTATTTTTTTCTATCTCAGTGTTTCTAGAAATTGTGGTGGCAGCATCTAGTGCTGATTTTCAAGATTGAAAATTAGGCAGAAATTACCTTTGACCAAAATAATCAGTAAAAAT